CCCACCTGGGGCCGGGAGGCGGGCCGAGACAGGGGGGGGACATTTCTCTTCCTGCCGCAGGCGTTCACCGCCAGATCCTGTTCACCACCGTGGGATGGTTTGTGGGCTATTACCTCATTAAACGTACGGAGTACGTACATGCCAAACTGGACAGAGAGTTGTCCGAGTACGTCAGGCAGCACCCGGAAGACTTTAAAGTAGCAGGTATAACGAGTCGGTGTTTTAAGAAAGGCCTCAGCCTGCCGTAACATGCCAGTTAGTAAGTGCTAATGTATGGAAAGGTGCTGCTGGGCCGCTCGCCGAATCTGTTCTTTTCTAGCAAGTCGTACTGGCTGCTAACTCTTTCCTGCTTATTCACGGTCTAAATTGCAAAGTATCGAGGATTTTACGGCATGAAAATAGATGTTTTTATTGAGCCGATCAGCCGCCTTGATCGCCAACTCTTCCTCCTAAAAGCTTATTTTAATATAAAAGTGGCAGAGCCCAAAAAAATAAGAATAGACCAAACTTGTGCCAGTGAAGGAGAAATAAAGTAAGTAACGCAAATTAGAAATGACAGGTTTTGTTTTTGTAAAATCACAGTATTACTGTTTATCCTTGTAAAACTGCAGTGCATGTCGATTTAAAAACGGTGTGATGGATATTCAGCAAAGAAGCAGAGCAGGTAAAAAAAGAATAAATAGAAACGTCAGGAAACCTGGAGCGCCGTTGGCTCTCGCTGGCTTAGAGCCTTGGTGAAGAACAGCGTTGTACTAAATGCAGTCACTGAGCCCAGCAATGCGATGGCAAATTTTGGTGAAAACCGTCTGTTTTCTAATAAAACGCAGTTAGGTGGCTCTGGCCGTTGGATTTTAATCCGCATTGTGCCATTTCGGAAGGAATCTGTAGAAATAAAGTCTTGAGATCTCTTTGCAGGGATCTGCAGTTCAGCCCTGTGGAAAAGAAGCTGCGTGTTTAGTTTATGCAGCAAGCGAATAGTTGGCTGCTGGTAGCAAAATCCAGGTTTTGGTGGCTTTGTTAACCTTAAGACTTAATACTCAAAAATCTTCGGAATCGATCTCAAATGCTGGTTAGGTTTTCGCAACTCTACCCGTTGCCTTTCGTAGAAAAGAGGAGAATAGGAGAGCTGCTGGAGGATTTCTACCCAGTTCGCTGAGGATTTCTCCGGCGGCGACGCGTTGCAGGACGCATCTGCTGAAGTTAATTCCGTACCGAGAACTTCGGCGGGCTGGCTGTAACTGTTCGACCGTCCATGGCTTGGAAAAGGAACCATTACTCGCTTTCGTGTAATAAAAGCTATGATTAAATACTTAGTGTTTAATTATTTGTTCTCCTATTATGGTGTATCGATATATCGGTGAGTGATACTTGTAATGGGATGACAACTTTGATTCGCCCCTTTTTCAGTTATTTTAATTGTGAAAATGGAAGATCGTTCATGCAGTATGTATCTTATTAAAAAACCAGAAAGTAGTTATGTAAATTCCTCCGTTTTATTTCTCGTTGGTGTTTCTCCTCACCCTTGAACATGCTCTGGACCAGCCCCCGCAGACGCTAGCCAAAGTCTTGCTGTGAAATGAATTCTGTCCCGCTCGCGAAAATAGATGCTCCCCTAATTAATCCCCTCTCTGCACTTCGCGTTCTTACGTTGCTTTTTCTTTGCTGGGGATCAGGATCCAACCTTTCTACTTCCTCACGTGGTGGTCGGCTCCCGAATCCGCATGCTGGACCCAAACGTGTTCCAGACACGCTGAGGGTCTGCAGCTCTTCTGAATTTCACTGCAGGGTGCTCGGCACCTCCGGAGGTCGAAACGCTTCCAGTTGAGGCTACTCCAGTTGTCAATGTTCTTTTATCTCTCAGGGATCGGCTTTTGCTGCCGTTTCTGTCGTCATAAAGAAGAAATTCTTTACAATGAGGGTGGAACACGTTGCCCAGAGAAGTTGTGGATCCCTTGAAGTGCCCAAGGTCAGGCTGGATGGGGCTTTGGTCACCCTGATCTAGTGGAAGATGTCCCTGCCCAAAGCTGGTTGTGTTAAAGAGGAAGATGACCATCAGCAGGATTAAACAGCGACCAGGGAATTACAACTCTGCTCGAGCAGGGTCAGCGACAGCCGGTTGCTCAGGGCCGTGCCTGGTTGGGTTGTAGATATCCCCCGCCTGGCGTGGGCAGGCTGCAGGCAGCACCGCAGGGAAACCTCCGCGTGTTGTGCTGCCGGACCCCCGAAACACCAACGGAGCAGCAAACCACCTGGGTACGTCCCCTGGAGGCCACTGCAGAGGGGACCCAGAGGTGTGACACGGACAGGGCTGGCAGCGGAAGGAGATGGGGGTCTCCGCAGCGCTGGGACCGCTGTCTCTGGGTCCTGAGCAGCACCGGGTGTCCTGGAGAGCTCTGCTGTGGCCAGAGCTGTGGCGCACCAGGTGCCAGGGAGAGCTGGCGGCCAGCCAGAGGACGAGCACTGCCACCTGAGACCCCAAGAGACATTTGGGGTTCACGGGCGGAGATCCCCACCCTGCAGTGAAGCCTGCCTTGATTTGGGCGGGCGGTTTTGAGGAGGGAGGAAGGAGACCGAGTGATGGGTTAATCCAGAGAGGGGGAGTCCCCCATGAGACCTGCCCAGCCACCCTCCTTCTGTCAGGGCTGGTCTGGGGGTCTCACGCAGCCCACCCTTGGCAAGCGGCCTTGACAACAACCCCTGCTAAAAGAAGGTGATAATGCACAGGTGATACTCGGCTGAAGGGTGTTTGCCCAAAACTGGTTACGTTAAGGAGGAAGGTGACCGTCAGCCGGACTAAATAGTGACCAGGGAATTCTAAAAGGGAATTTCAAACCCAAGAAGGTGTCAGCCTGAAAGGAATCGTCAGCGCTCCCAGGATGAGGGAGGGACCATGGAGGAGCAACAGCAGGAGTCCACGGCTGTTGGACGCTGCCAAAAGCAGCCCTGCCAGCATCCCAACCTCCACCCGGGCCTGACAGAGCGTCCTCCCGGTTGGATGCTGTGAGCAGCCTGCAGCCAGCTCCCGGGCTGACGGCATGGGGAGCACCAGGCAGGGACAGAGCCAGAGTCAGGGTTGGAGAGGCTGGAAGGCACCTCTGGAGACGATCTAGTCCAACCCCTGCTCGAGCAGGGTCAGCGACGGGACCGTGTCCCGTTGGGTTTTGGGTGTCTCCGAGGGTGGAGACTCCGCCGCCTCTCTGGGCAGCCTGCGACAGTGTTTGACCACCCTCGCTGTAAGGAAAAAGAAAGTTTTTTCTTATGTTCAGGTGGGCTTTCCTGTGCTTCGGTTTGTGCCCGTCGCCTCTTGTCCCGTCGCTGGGCACCACTGGGAAGAGCCTGGCTCCACCTTCCCCGCACTCCCCATTCGGTCTTTAGACACACGGATAAGGTCCCCCTGAGCCTTCTCTCCTCCAGGCTGAACAGTCCCAGCTCAACCAGCCTCCCTCTCCTCAGACGGAAGGTGCTCCAGCTCCTTCGTCACCTCCACGGCCCTTCGCTGGACCCTCCCCAGCAGGCGCCTGTCTCTCTCTACTGGGGAGCCTGGACTGGACCCAGCGCCCGGACGCGTCCCAGCAGGGCTGAGCAGGGGGGAAGGATCCCCTCCCTCCCCCTCCTCCCGGGAGGCTGGTGGCCGTCTTTGCCCTGAGGACAACACCTTGCTGGCTCATGGCCAACGTGGCCAAGCAGGGAGCCAGCGCCGGGGGGTGCGGGTGCGACTCTGTGGGGTGCTTTCCCCCTGGCACCCGCACGAGCGGGCGATGGGCAGCAGCAGGGGGTAGGGGTGAGGGCA